TTGGGCTATCACCATCTGTGCTAATTGCGCTTGGCTCTTCTTTAAACCATTCGTTGCGGCTTCAAAACTGACGAACCAAAGTCGTGGTTTGTCTCTCCAAAACGGTGGTATTCTTAACGATAGAGATATACCGGCGATTTCTGGTTCCTTTACCGGGTTTGATGTATATGTGTTTGCCTCCTGCTCCATAATGACGGCTTGATTACACTGATTTTATATAAACTGAAGTCTTCCTTCTCGGTGTTCGTACGGGTTTCCTTCGCGGTGTTCGTGCAATAGTAGTGGTACGTCGCAGGGTGTTCCTTCTTGGTGTTCGTACCGGATCTTCCCCCTCGGTGTTCGTACGGGGTCACCACTGTAATAGTGGAGACGAACTGTCCACTATTAACAGACTCCGAGTGGTTTTCTTTAAGGTGGAGAAATGAAACTACTGTTTATGTTTATGAATGTACTGTCGAATGGGATTCGGAATGGAATATCTTTTGCATCAACCTTGCCTATATTTATATGGCTGGCTCACTATTGATTTGCCAATGGTAACAATTAATATTTTGCCTAGCCAATTATATTGCTTATTTTATGACCAATGAAAACTATTTAAAATATACAATTATCTACGTTTCGTTTCCCGGCGTGAGACTTGTTTGTTGTTCACGAAGCTACGTCGCTGGACCGGGCTATATAAGACATGCAGATCGGTGCGCACGCGTAGTCGGCGGGCGGCGGCGGTGTGGAATACAGCTCCGGAACAGCAAGAGGAAACGAACTGCGGCGTTGAAGAAACGGCTCACCATTGGTCGACGGATACGTGACGATAGCGGCGTGTGAAGTCGGTGTGGCGCTGAATGATATTTGCGGCTGCTTCTTGTTTCTTTATAAGAACGTCAAATTATCTATATACAGTCCGCAGTATCCCAGTAGCCAGAAATAATTAGGAAATAAAATGTTTTTTTATTTATTCTCGCCTTCCGCGTTATGGTAGCAGCGGAGTATATATTATTTATTCCCGTTTAGGTTTGATTAATCTGGCTGCTACATATGTTTTCTTTTTCAATCAGGCGGTCATACAAGAAAAGTGTGCTATTGATACATGTTAAAAGACCTATAAAGCCAGTTTTGAGATTTGTAGCGATAACAAGCTTATCTTCGTCAGGAGCTACTAGAAAAATTAAGTAATATTTAGAGTATTCCAAATAATCTTTTGTTTTCGAAATATCTTTTTTAAATAAGGGCTTTTTGAATGTATACTGACACATGTTTCTAGAGTTAAGAATGTCAAAGATATTGTTAATTAGACGGATAAAACTAATTGTAGCCGCCGCATTTTTGAATTCAATATTACTTTTTTCACAAACTTGGAGTGCGTCGGCTACGCTATTACTAAAAAGCTGATTGGCTAATTTTACTTTTATTTTTTGTTGCTGAAAATGTATATGCTTGTCTCTTAACTTGTTTCCGAGATGGAGGTCTTCAGACTTTTGTAGGTTATTAAGTTTGCGAGATAAGACCATTCGATATAATTGCCCTGATAATCAAGAAACTTATTTTTATTTTCTAAGGCGTTGCGCACTAGTTTTAGCATATGGCATGCGTCGAGGAATACTGCTTCTTCGTAGTCAGCACTTGGGTGATTAAAAGTAGATTTTATTTTCTGAGGATCTAACGAACATCCTAACTTTTTAAGCATAGCAATATTTGCAGCGCAACCATCTATCGTAAGTGAAACAACGTCTACACCATTTTCTTGGCATTTGTAGAGACATTGTTGAACTATTGAGGCCCGTTGTTCTCGGGTCATAGAACGAATCAGAAAATAACCCACAGGTAATTTCCACCGTTCTGTTTGAGATACAAGCAATAGAACTAAGGCTTGAGATGCCTGATCCGAGTTATCCTTTTGTACGTCATTAAGCCCGAGGTCCACATAACCATGATATTTATTTGCATCCCATTCAACATGCTTCCTAATAGCCATCTCATCTATAATAAGACTACACAAAGCGCGTTTACGTTATGAGTTGGTTTTGTGCTTTAATACATTAAAAGCCTCAGCTGTAAATCCAGCTTCACCATTGACACTTTCATACCATTTAGAAATAGTTCTCGGATGCGGTAAGCATGTATCGAAAGTTTTCCTGACGTATGAGAGTACGCATTTGGCGAAAAATAATGAAGCGTCAAAGCGAATGATCTAAGGGCTGGAGAATATTTCTTTTCAAAGGAACTTTTTTAATTTTTGATAACTGACGCCCAACCAAGTCTTTCAACTTTATATTTATTGAAGATAAAATTTCGGAATCCTCTCCCTGTAAAAGATGTTTGGTTTCCAATTCTGTAATTAAGGCAGTTAAATATTGAACCTGAAACAAAAGCGAAACGTACTTAAAGCGTATTACATTTAGAAAAAAAACATCTTAAAGTTGTACGTGAAGCGAAAGTAGTGTCACTATATAAGTACCTTCTTTTTCAAACGTTTAACTTTCATTTGAAGTCTTCTGATCTTCAACCCATCTTTTTTCGATTTCCATCGAAGTTGTTCTCTCGCTTAAGCTTTTTCTTTCTAGGGGAATCGTGAAATATTAAAAATTCATTTAAATTACTTGTGGTAGGCCTAGGTGATGATATTGAGGGCTCTGGTAATTTCCTTTTAATCTGTAATATAAAGTATAAAACAACAATATGAAATTAACTCCTTCTACCAAAATAAAAAAAAAACTAGTAAAATACAAACTGCATCCAAACGAACCGATATATCCAGATTAATGCTGGGTAAAGTCCCTACTTTAATTTTTTAAAACCTATTTTTGTAACTGTGAAATGAATCATTGAAATGACAAGAACAAATCTTTGTATATTTTGTTGGAGTCCAGTCTTGTCTATTAATTTTCGCTATCCATTGCTGTTTAAGATTATCTTCGAATGGAAGTTTAGAATATAAAGTAAATAAAATAACCTAGGTGAGCTTTTTAACTAACTGAACTACAACTGTTATAATAGTTGTCTTTCTTAAGAAAAGTTTCAAGGAACCTGAATATTGTACATAGAATATTTAATTTCAAGAAGACTTTATTTTACTAAGGATAAAATGAATATTTCTTGAAGGTTGACTTTTACAAAATGCTAAATATTTAAGTATTTATATATATTGTAGACCTTTCGTAAAAAATCAGCCTAAGTAATATTTCCTTCATTTTGATGTTTAAAATACTTTCAAGATTATTCATTTATAAGATATATTGCCGTGGGTAAATGGGTAAAATAATTGGATTCTAATTACGGCCCTGTCTTTTATTTTATTTTTATTGTTCTTTTACTTCACGGTAGATGGCGGCCTGTTTACAAAATGATTATAAAATCTATAAAAGTAATATTTTGGCGATTAAAAATTCTTTAGGACTGAAACCAACTTCAAAAAAAAAAAGCAATTCAGCACCTTCGTATGATTGTTTTACCAATACTGAGCTCGACGTACCTTTATATTTTTAGTTCCCACGACACAAAGTGCTGCCATCTAGTATTGAATATATTTAATTATATTTGAAAGCCGACGCAAAGAGATCTTTCAAGAATTATTTTAATAAATTAGTTATATAATTACTTACACATGAAATGTGATACCATCCATAGCATCAGAGCGTCTATCTGAGTAGTTTTTACACAATAAAACACAACACTTCATCCTTTTCTTCTTAATAATACGAAAATACACTGATTTGCAATTTTCGACACCTATGCGCTCAGACGAACGCTGACAGTACACTAATTAAAGCCACGCCCACTGTGATGTCAGGATCTAGTTAGAATCACAGTGCACAGTCGCTTAGGCCGTCTCCTCTTTATATTTGCTCTGTGTATACTACTAATATACCTGAAGCATGGCTCTACTACGTAACGAAATATATCTACAAATCTGCTGCTTATGGTGGTATGGTATCGGTTACTAAATTTTAACTCCTTTAAGTACGTTATGCTTAATGTATCGTAGTATGTGATCTCTGCTGACACCAGTTAAATCGATAACGATTTTAAATGACGATTTACAAAGAGCTTAGTTTAAAGGAATATATCTGCGGAAACATGCACATCTGAGAAATAAATAATAATTCATTTCTAGTTATTATAAAAATAATAGTAAATATAGTATAATATTTCGAGGACAAGTAAAGTCCGTTTATGCACTGGAGCAGCGATAGACTAATTGCCCTGTGACCCTCACAAACCAGCCTGTGTCGAGAGGCCTTGTGCTGAGTATTGGGACTGTTAATTTTAATCTTTATCATACAATTCATAATATCATTTGTGTGTTTGTGCAGAATTCTTCAATTATTCCCATAAGGCTACGCGGGGACAATCTCGGAGAACGGCATCAATACCTGAACTCTCTGGTCGAAGACGTCTATCAACAGAAATTGCCTCTACAATTTATCCTAGAATTACCTGAAAAGTCTCATATCGATAAACTCTTTAAAATTGACTTAGCGTCGAGGTATCGGGATGCAAATTATATTATTAGCACTCTTAAGCTAGAGGATATGCTATACGTTAGCAGAGCCCTGAAATGTACTTGGCTTTTAGAGTCGGAATATCAAAGTATCTTTAATCCTGATCACTTAGAATCTGAGCTGTATCCAAACATGATAACTCCAGCAGTTAATAAAATGAAACACTGGCTGCAAATTAATTTGCGCGACCCTGTAAGATGTCAAGAGTTCTACAAATATTATGAGGATGATTTTGATGTCAGTATGAAATTTCTTCGCCATTGTTCCACTGAATTTATCATGGCTGAATTTTTAAATATCATAGATAAGATGACGCCGAAAAATTTGAAGATTCTTAGCGAATACTGCCCACAAGTAATGAAATTATATTACGATAATTTTAGCAAAAATTCGATAACATTAAGCGGTATATAAGTGAAGACCGTAATTATTTTAACTGTTGCAAAAGTCTTGTAAACGTGGACATGGATTTATTTCTGGATATCGTTGAAAAATATTATGATCATCGCAAATTTGGTTCGCTCAGTCCGCGTGTGCATCATGAAGAATCATAAACATAGGTTTGCAAACAAGCCTGAACTCTACGCAGGTTGGCTTCTAGATATGAAAACTTTAGCTAAACACCTCACTGATGAAGAAATAAAAGAAGTCGTGCTAAAGTTAGCGCGGGCGGAATACCTTTACAATTTGTTTTCATATAAAAACGTGGAACCTCTTATTAAAAAATTGAGCGTTGATGAGAGAGCATCCTTCAAAAAGCAAGTTTTTGTCCAAAATGAGATTGGAACAAAGGTAAGCACCTGGCTTTACCAACCACCCTCTCCACCCTCTGGTCCGGAGTGTGAAGTTTTGGACTCCATTTTCGATGATGTTAAACATAAGCCAGACAAATACAAGGACATTGAACCACCAAATTTCAAACGTAGAATACAAAATAAATGCGGTGCGCCTATGAGATCTGATATAGCATACTGTATGGTAGGCGATTGTTTTCCGAGGAGTAGGAAAACTTTGCTAGATCAGCTGTTTGATCGCTATAGATTTTACAGCTTCGATCGGAAAATGTTTGAACTTCGAAAATTGTTAATGGCGGAGGGATCTGTAAAGAATCGAGAATTCATGATGCTAGTGTTGGTTAGCAAATATGGAGAGAATATGGACCAAGTTAACAAATTGATAATTTTGCTTGTTGAACGGCACAAAACCGAACCGAGTAATTTGCGGGCAGCCATTGTACGGAGCTTAGTTGTGCGGGCGTGCGTTTGGCGTCTACCACCGAGGGCTTGGAGTCTCTTGCTTGATTTTGGACGAGAATTAGGGCTTGAAGAAGCATCGCAGATAATTTGCCTCGAAGGGATGCACGCTGCAGTGTTGAGAACCTTATTGTCGGGTGAAGAATGTCCACTTTCTTTAAAAGCCGCTTATCTGGATAATTTCTCGATTCTCACTAATAACATCGGGATCCAACTTCGGCGGAAAGTCTCCTTCATCGACTTTTCAATGAACGAGTTGCCCGACGCGAATTATTCCGCGAAACCTTTAAGGTTTTTAAAACAAATACATCATATTTGAATGTTTTGCGTTACGATGCAAAGGTGCTTACATCTACAATCCATTTCGTAGAATCGCTCCAAAATCACTCGTTCAACTATGACGGTTTTCTAAAAAAACTGTACTTATATATCTGGAGAAGAAAACGGATTAGCTGCAACATATGTAGTAGCAATCACTCATTTGGCAACCAGTAAGCCGCACGCATCTTTAGCTCGACCACTTGCTTTGTTACGGATCGATCTACGGCCAATTATTGATGAATGCCTAAAGGAACCAAAGGGAAGTTCTAAAAAACAACTAGGAGCCGCTATGTTAGCCAATTATCATTATAGTAAGCCTTTAGATGTTGACGTAAACAATTGGCGGACGCTTTGTGTGAAGGCGATTGCAAACAAAATATTGATTTGCAAAACTGTTGATGTAAAAAAATATTTATCTTTATCGCTAGGGTGGCGACGGGCACTAAAATTGGCATTGCTTCTTGCAGAACGCGTCGATAGAACAGCACAAGTCCACGCAACAGTTAGTACAGAACGACCGGCTGCCGCAGTGCGTGCTGCAATTATGTATTTTAAAAGAAATAAAAATTGTGACAAAGTGAATGTTGAAGTGTGGAGAGCAGTTGCTCCCGCTTTATGTAATTTGGATCTATCAGTGGAGCAACGTCGTCGTCTTCAACAAAACCTCCTCTGTGACGCGGGAATTATTCCTTCGGATATTGAAGTCGAGTACTGGACCGAATTGTTAAAAGCCTTCCAAAAGATATTAAGAAGGAAAGCGATGCCAATTATATGCACGCTGGAGAATATTTTGCCAGACATAGATCCAGACGTTATTAATAATATAATCGGGCTGTTTATAACAGAGTTTACACCGGACAACGTGTCAGAAATTGGCTATAGCAGAAAAATTTGTCACAGTATGCAAGTGCGCATCATTGCTAAATATCTGCTACTATGTAAAGACGAATCCGAACGGAATGAAAAACTGGAAACTATTTGGGAACCATTCTATAACCGTCTGACATGGCTTCTAAAAGAGAACACTCAATCTTCGATCGAGTATTTAGATGACTTTTTAATTGCACTAAGATATAATAAGGCTTTCTTCGACACTTCACTAGTTTCATGTTTGCCCGTACTGGAAAGAATAGTGACGGACTTGCGGAAGTTTCTGCCAATGTAGGGTTACTTTTATGTCTTCGTTGTGATACATGCCATTATGTTATATTACAAATCAATCCAACAAAGCCTCAAGCTACACCCAGATAAGTTTCAAGATGCTAAGACAAAGCAGAGCGAGGGAACGGAAATAGTTGGTAAACTATTCGGTCAATACATGGGGCAGGAAGTTCGCGATCTGGTATCGAAATATTTCAAGTCCGTTGTAACCCTTTACCAAAATCATTTAATGATATTTTTGCGTGATAATCTTAATTACAGCGAGAGCAGGAATAGATTTACAATTGCGCTTAAGAAAGGTTTGTTGGAAGTAGGCAACACTGAGGCGTTGCGTGTCGCACAGTACATTTGGAAGGTGAGCTGTGTAGGATTCCTGAAAGACAGGAGCTTTTGAAAGCTTTGAAAGAAACACAAGATGAGGAGGTTAAATTCTTTATATACGCCAATATGTGCTGTGGATTATAAGCTTCAGGGTAATAATTGATTAAACCCTATTACATTTTATCGCAGTTGCTTTCGCAATCTTACAGTACGTGCTAAACTAATGCGTCTCTGAAGTAGGTCTATGACACTAGGCAGAATGCGATTTTAATATTTTTTTAGAAGTTTGATCGAAGTTGCGATTAAAGATCGGCGGCATCGGTTATTTTAATTTTTTTGCGTCTTGCTTACTGTCTCTGTCCTGGGAGGAGCCAGGAAACCTAGTGGGCCTTTTTAGGGTTCCGTACCCAAAGAGTAATTAATCTAGGTGACCCTATTACTAAGCCTCCGCTGTCTGTCGGTCCGTCCGTCTCTCAGCGGGCTGTATCTCATGATCGGTAATAAGTAGACAGTTGAAATTTTCACAGAATGTGTATTTCTGTTCCCGCTATAGCAACAAGTAATAAAAATATAAAATAAAATAAAAATTAAAGGGGCTACCCTACTAGAAACGTATTTTACGATGGTACGGAATCCTTCACACGCGAGTCCGACTCACATTTGGGCAATTTTTATTTAATAATAATGTGTTTTTGAAATGAAAACTTCTTTAGAATTGTTGTGACTTGAAACACGATGAAACGAAGAAAATTATTCATCTATAGGAATTAGCCTGCGAGAGAATGAAATAGAATATAGTATGCAGTGTTTCCTATTATCTATAATATGATATAATATATAATTTAATTTTTAAACCTGTTATGTAACAATAATATAATAAATAAACCCTAAAGTATCCTATTCATGACATTCTCGTCTCATTCTTTCGGAGTTTAATTTTCTAAAGTTTTTACTTCTGCCGCGTGTGAACTTCAGTTTTTTTAGGTTATGATATAGTCTTCGTAATTTTGTTTTAGAATATTAGTAATTTAATTGTATAATATGTATTATTGTATAATGTGTGTCACATTTAAGTATAATAGTGAAATTACCTTTTAGTTTAGTCCATATATCTGTAAAATTTAAGGAATGATTTTTGTACAGATTTTAATCTGTACGATTCGAAATTATAGAGCAGAAGTCAAACAAGAAAAGTAAATCACGGCAGCTGCAGCAGTGGCGGTGCACGAGCGCATTTAAGTTTAGCACGTACTGTAACAACATCTGAAATTTAATAGAATTTATGAGGTGCGCTCTTACTAAGTTTTTCAATTATTGTATTATTATTTAAATATCGATTTTTAATAAGTATTTATTAAAAGTATAATTTATATTCTCTATTGTTGGGTGAAACTTCAGCTTCATTTTTGTAATACGGATACACTTGTACTAGTTTCACAATATTTATATTTAACCGAACGGTTTAGTATCTCTGATGGATATGAAACCGGTCGGTTCTTATACAGTAGACCTTCGATAATCCGGCCCCTGGCCAATCCGCACCCCCTTGTAATCCGACATGCCTTAAATGAATCCGTTATGGGGGGGGGGTTTTTCGCGTACAAAAAGGTTGCATTTATTTCAGGCCATTGTCTCAGTTTAAGTGTGACTGTGGGGTTGCACCCTAACGGATATCCATCATTTACTTGATTTCACATGACTTTTTTTATTGTTATTAAACAATAAAAATCAATAATTAATTAATCAAATATTAATTTGATATGTAATTTGTCGGATTACAAAGTACTCTTTTTCAAAAAGTTTCGGACTACCAGGGGGCTATGGCAGTACTCTATAGTCCGACAAATTAGATAATCCGACACCGCCTTGCAAAACGTTTGTCGGATTACCGCGAATCTACTGTATTTAGTTAACTAATAATCCTAATATAGGTATATAAATTACATCACGTTGTTTGTCCGCGATGGATTCCTAAACTACTTAACCGATTTTAATCAAATTTGCACACAGTGTCTAGTTTGGTCCAACTTGAGAGATAGAATAGTTTTTTGCCCATGAGTGACCCATATTTTTTTTGCGAATTTAAAGATTTTGAATAGGACATGACAAAGGGTCGTCGAAATGGGCAGAACAACGTCTGCCTGGAAAGCTAGTTTAAATATTTATTGTGATACAAGTACAAGTGTATGTTCAAATCACAAATTTATTAAAAGTGCCCTACTTTTTTGCCTAGAAGTGAAATTGTATTTGTAACGACAGAAAACTAATAAAATATTTGTGATGTAAAATGGTGAAGTAGATGAGGTTGGCACCTGCCCCGGTGGATTCCTAGGCAGAAAATAAATCAACCCAATGAGCATAGAACTGCCTTGTTCACCACGCTTGGCAGGAGGATTGGCAACTGGAGCAACAGGCGTCCTGCAGCTTGACACAGGTTCCAATAGCCGATAGAAATAGTTAAAACGCCATTTATATCAAACTATGAGATATTTTATTTTATGGAATAAGTTTGACAAATGAGCACATTGTGTAAAAATGTGAAAATGTCTAGCCTCTAGTTCGAAGGCTAAATAAATATTGTGTAAGACGTTTTTTATTAAATAAGACGTTGACAAATACTCAGCTTATTATAAGCGTTAAAATTATTGTATTTTTTAATTTCCGTTCTGCCCGCATGTTAATCATACTTAAGTCTGAAATATTTGTAACATTTAAATATTTATAACTGGTTTTTCACTTATAGATATTTTATAAATGGTTTTCAATTATTAATAGTTTGACAATAACCATTGTTTTATATGGTTTGTATATACAAGCTTCGCTTTTTGTAATTTTGTAAAAATAATTAATGGCGTAAGTATAACAAGTTCCGATTGTGTGAAAATAAAAATCTAAAAACTGTTTGTAACCTGTTATTTTACTACAACTATAACTTAGATCAAGCTGTTAAGTTAAATAACCAAATTATATAACATAGTTAGTACACACAACATACAACCTAAATAAACGACTTCATCAACAACTTATGATCAATGGCTACTTTGGGCCTCCTCCTACATTTGCCTTATTCGCTTTGAAAAAGAGACAAATAAATGTTCATTTAAATTCTTGCTGGCTATAGTGACTGTGTATAGTGACTTAAATGGTTTATATGTAGGTTACTTTATAATTAACCAAACCAAAATCAGATATAATAAAACACATAGATAATTTTGTTTTGGTAGTTAAATAATTTGGACAACCTCAATCTCAAATCGTCAACCTATGTACTAAAACAATAATTTAAAGTGGCACACAAGTCAAACATGAATCCACGTGAATTTTCTGCAGTCTTTAAGCCGTCACTTAGGTTGTGAGGCACCGTTGTCATAGTAAAAACAGAATAGTATCTATGTTCTAAGAAATGTACCAAACGCCGCTAATACGTGTGCGTGCCTGGCACGGACTCGTAGTCGTACGCACTAGTCACAGCATGCACATAACGACACTTGCTAAGTCGGGAAGATCGGGCCGAGTCAGGGGACGCCCATCGCCGCGCTCTGTAATAACCTTTGTTTGATTCTCGTGATATTTCGCTTGCCGCACCTATTTAAACTGTGCTTAGACTTAAAAATATGTATCACATAAAACATACTGTACTAACTTTGTTTTTAATGAAATTTTGCTAGCAGTCTTTTTTTCATTTTATTTTCTCTTTTTGTAAAATAATATATGAGTTTGATTAAGTAAATTAGCTTTTTATTAATATGTTATATTACTATATCTATACATAAATACATAACTTATAAGTACATTTATTATCATATCATATCATGAATATAATAATTTATAATATGTTGTCTAGTTAATACGGTTGAAAAAATGGCACTGAGCTCCCGGCATAAAATAGACGTGAAAGTGACGGCGCGGCGGCGTCATTGATGATAAAATTAATTTTAAACATTAAATCAGAGCTGACAACATGCTCAGTGTTAATATACTCATATTTTAATTATGTGGCGTATGTTGTAATGTAAAGCTGGATTTTTTGGACAAACATTGATACTTTGAGAGGAAATTAAAGAAATAATTTTCAAATACGATACATAGATACACATCCGTATGTATTATGTTTGTAAAAATTATAACTACTTATAAAATTAAATGAAACTTAGCTGTTAAACAAAAAGATAGTGACAACTCTGCAACAGGAGGCATTTAAGTAAATCTTACTATTCTGTTTTTACTATGCCGCTGTCTCCTGATGACGCCCAGTTTTGAGGCAAAACTCGTGTCGTGACGTCAACAATGGTGTTTCGTAGTGCAAGTAAAGAGCAGTTGTGTCGTCGAGTTTGCCGTCAAGTTTCCACTTTCTGAGCCATGGTCAAACAATTTGACGCGCTAAATTAATTAAATGTAATATTTTGTTAACAAAACTAAAGTGACCAACAAACTTTTCACCTGATGGTAAGTGGCTGTCACAGCCCATGTACTCCTGTGTATCAACTGTCGAACAAAGAAGGCTACAGTTGCGTCGTGAACTCTGATAGCTCACAAAGAATGCCTCACAGCGTGTATATATATAATACCGGCTCTCTATATCCTTCAGACCGGAACACAGTGGTTCACGCACCCCTATATGCCGGCAGAAATAGCTAAGCGGCTGGTACCCACCCGAGCAACGAACAAGTATTTGCAAGGCCT